GCGCACGCAGGGGGCTGGGCTGCCCGCGGCGCGGGGGAAAGTTGAGTTGGGAGAAGTTGGGAGCGGCGGGGACGCGCCCCGGGGTGGGCAGAAGGGAGTCGTCGGGAGCGCACGAGGGCGCCGGAGGGCCGGGAGAGACCCCGAGACCCCCGGGGCACCGAGTCCAGAGCAAGCGGGTAAGCGGAGAGCTGGCGGCGGGGGAGGCCCGGGGCGGCCGAGGGAGGAAGGGAGGGCGAAGGAGCGGGCGGGACTCGGTGGAAGGGGAGGAAAGGGCGGGGACTGGGGCGCGGGGAGCCGAGGTCTCGGGGACAAGGATGCGGGGGCAGACGGAGTGCCGGTCGGAAGCGGGGACTCCGGGGTCCGCTCGTTAGAGTTCCCTAAAGTGGGGACCGCGCCCCTGCCACTCTCGGGGAGGCGCCGCCGGCCGGCCCAGTCCTGGGCGGGCTCCAGACGGCCCCCCTCCCCTGCGACCCCCCGACACTGTCCCTCGGTCCCTTCCAGGGCGCCCAGCCTGGGGGCTGCGTGGGGCCCCCACCCCCATCTCCGGCTTGGGAGGCGGAGCCGAGAAAGGGGATGTCGGGTCAGGTCGGGACAGGGGGTCAGGCTGAAGAGGGGGCCGCTGGGTGGGGATGGGAAAGACGAGCCCGGAGAGCTGGACCTGCCTCCCGGGGGCCCGTGTGTCTGGCTGGGGAGCTCCGTGCTGAGTGTGGGGGGCGGCGCTCCCTGAAATGCGAGGTCCGCTTTATCCTTAGTCCTCGCCCCTCCAGCCCCACGTTGAAGCGCTGTGGAATGTAGGAATTCACTTGGGGAGTGGTTAATGCTCAAGTGGGGGTCTGGGGTGCTAATCCCTTGGGGAGGGGGAGAGATGCTAATCCTCCGGGCCGGTCGGGGCTGGTCTCCGGAATGTGCCCCCACCCGGATTATCGGCACGGATGCTTTGGACAGAGGCTGCTTTGTGTTCTGGGACGGCGGGGGAGGGATGGGGGTGGGTAAAGGGAGGAGGGGAGGGCGGAGGAGCACACAGAGGGCACAGCCTGGAGGTGGGAGTGCTTAAGACAGGTGCTTAGGACAGACTCTCCCCACACCCCTCCCACACCATGCTCCCCCTCCAAGCGCCCTGGCTGGTGGCCTGCTGAGGACAGCACCAGCTGAATTGGAGAGCTTGCTAGGAATGTGTCGGCCAGGCTCTCCACCCTGGGCTGACCCCCAACCTATGTTTGACCCCACGCTGACCTGTCTTACCCCCAAGTTAGCCCAAAGTTGGGCAACCCTGACTCTCCAACAGCACACTGGGGAGCTTCGGTGTTGTTACCTTCGGAGAACCTTGGGTGCGCCCCATGCTCTCCCCACGAGGAATGGATACCGCAGTTTGCACTGATGAGATTCCCTCCCTGCAGCTCCTCTTCTGCTCCCCCCACCCCCACAATACATGGTGTCCTCCCCAGACTTCCTACAGTCACAGTCAGGAGGGAGGCAGCCCTGCCACTCAGATTTTCCTGGCCCCAGGCTAGGGAAGGGAGGGATCCGGACTGCCCTCAGGGGCAGAACCTCAGGGTTTCTGTGCCCACCCCTTCCCAGCCATCACGTGCCCCTCCCCCATTATAAAGCTCTGCCCAGCCTGTGCCCACCGACTGTCCCTTCCTCCCTCCCACTGAGTGGAGTTGGGCTCCTGCCCTTCACCCAGGGAGACCCACGCAGAGGGTGCCCGCTCCCTGGGGACAGCTCCCTTGCTTGCGCTTTGGGCTCTCCAGAGTTCTTTCTCTCCCTCTTCCTGCCTGCGCTCCAGCTCCACAGGCTTCTCCTCTCTCCACCACACCCCTCTCTGGTCTGGACCCACCTCCGCCGCCTCCAGCTCGGTTCCTGTTTCTGTCTGGGCCTTCACTCCCCTCCTTTGCTTGCTCTTTGTCGCTCCCTCCCTGTTCCTGTGGCTGCACTCAGGTCTAGGCCTTGACTCCTTCCTCCCCCACCTCCTGCTCCTCCTCAGTCTGCGTGGTTTCTTGGTTGGCTCTTTTGCCTCCCTGCACTGGGTTCTCTCCTCTGTCTCTCTTTGTTCTTCTCTTTTCTAACTATAAATATCTGTCCTCTTTGCTCTTGCTGCCTCTAAGGGCCACTCTAGGTCCTTCGTAGTTGAGGAGGATCCTGAGCAGTGACAAGCCCGGAGTGGCAGGCGGCCGGGCCCCTTCCCTCCCAGGGCTGGGTGCCTGCTCACCTGGCTGGCTCTCAGATGGCAATTGGTCCTCTTGCCCACCCAGGTTATGCCTCCGCCTTGTTGCCCTGAAAGCCGCAGTGACAGCGAAAAGGGCTAAGATTTGGCCATGAGCAGCGCCCCTGGGTGCCCCGCCTCGGGCGCAGACTCTTTCCACACGGTGAGTGTTGCCCACTGGGTCCCCCTGCCCTCCCCTAGCCACCGGTGCTCTGGCCATGCCAACCACCAGGTGTGTGTGCATGTAGGTGTGTATAGAAGGCCGGGAGAAGAGCCTTTGATGCCATCTGAACCCTGACTTTGCTTGATGGCCGGGATGGTTAGTGGGGGTGTCAGGCGGTTTCCAGTTCTGGGAGGGAGTCGCTGTTTCCTGAGGTAGTTTAGTCTCAGCAGGAGAGGATCTTTGGGGACCCTGTGTTTCTAACCCAACAACCCCCTCTGACCTAGCCCTAGAGGTGGAGGTCTGCTGCTGCTGCAGCTGCACACAGAAGTTCTGGGCAGCACTTGCTAGCCCCCGGAGGCCCCGCCCCCGTCCCCACGTGCCACCAAGGCCCAGCCCTCCCAGCCCACACGTGGCCACCAGCTCACATGGCCCCCTCCAGATTTTCCTGAGGAGTCTAATGATTAACCC